TTTTGGAAAAAGCTGGGGGCTGGGAGGATGTAAGCAAAGTTTCCCAGGCATTGGAAAGGTGCTGCCTACAAGTCATCTGGGTTTGCTCACTTCATAAAAATTCATTGTGCTGCACATATAGGACTTGTGCACTTTTCTGGGTGTTTTATACCCAAAAGAATAAAAGGAGGAGGAAAAGGAGGAAGAAGAGGATGAAGAGTGATGACACACCTTTATGTGTACTGACATGGAAAGGAAAGCTCATTGCTATTAACTATATTCCGTTTCTCTTAAGCTATTGACCTCAAACTCTAAGTGCCTATGTGTATAAAAAGTGATCACAGGAAAATAGTTCACATGGATGTAGCAACAGTTACCTCTGAGTAAGATTTTAGGTTTTCTTTTCTATGCATTTCTTTGTATTTGTTTACATTTGTATATAGCATATATATATATAAAATTTCATACTCAAAAAGGTTAGGTTTTCAAACTCTTCTTTTATTAAAAAGAAAATAACACCCACTTTATCCAGGCGCAGTGTCATGTGCTTACATCCCAGCTACTTGGGAGCCTGAGGCAGGAGGATCACTTGAACCTAGGAGTTGGAGACCAGCACGGGCAACAGGCTTTCCCTAGAAATAAATCAGTAGGCACCAAAAACCTATCAACAGGGGACACAATGTGCACTGTGTGCACTGAACACACTTTGCAATTGCCCAGGTTCCTAAGTCTTCCCAAACCACCACCCTTCACATCCGCAGAAGGCAGACACACACCTGTGGTGGAATCAGAGGGCAGATGAAGGGGAATGGCCTTTGACTTGGAGAACTAAGGGTGCTGCCATGAACATTTTAGGCTATTTATACTTCCTGCCTTGGAGTCAGGAAGCAGATGGGTCCTTTTATTAAACAAAAGTACTCTCCCTATCATTTGTCTTTCTTCTGTACTCTGTTGTCTCTCTGGCTCAGGTGGACGGAATTCCACAGCGTTATCCCCAGCCCTGCACTCTCTGGCTTAGTAGCGAATTTCCCATTTCTCCCTCAGCATCCTTTCCCACCCAGAGCCTCCCCCACAGGTCCACATACTCGACATTCTTTTAATGGGGATAAATTACTTTCATCTAAATCAAAGCCAAGCTTAAAATGTAAATAACCCTGGGTGACTCAACACATGGCCTTAATATTCACATGAAGGTGTAAATGTCTAACATGATTTCTGAGGAGCGGGACATGGATGGAGAAAGAGCAGCACAAATCTCATCTAGAGCTGGGCTGCTTGCTGAGGTACCTGCTTCCCCACCCCCAACGCCATTCAGACCTGCTTAACAGATCCCAAGCCACCCAGAAGCTGAAAGTGGCCATGTCACCAGGGCCAGCTCTATATCCATTCCAGACTCAGGATTACAATAATTTGGGAGGGGGTCAACCAAGTCAGAGCCCCAGATGGCAGAAGAGCTGCTTTAGCTTAAGACTCTTAACTCTTTCCTCAGGGCAGGAGACAATGAAGGATGAGGCTTTCCAGGCCTAGGACACAACCTTGATCCAAAGCCTAGTTGTGGCTTTAATTTTTGTAAATCAAAGCCTCCAGTTCTTCTTCACTTTCTTAGCTGCGGACATGTTTCCCAGGATGCATGGAAAAATAAATAAAAAGCACCGAGTTGGGGATTGTGTGACATCATGTGTCACTTAAACCCTCTGCAGGCAGGCAGGATCACTGCCCTACTAACCTCCCTTTCCTATGCTTTTCCCCTGGAATATCGTCTTCCCAAGATCATCCCATACTTGGAAAACATTGTCTAATTATCATCACACACAATGGGCCTATTGCCAGCTGCTTTTTATTTTTACTTCAGATTTTTTTCCAGGATGTTTTTTTTTGCCTGCTTGGGGGCGGGCACAGGGAGAGAGGAGTGTGTGTCTGTTTTTGCTATTACACAGAACTGATTGGATTTCCTTTTATAATCACAAGTAAACTTCCAGACCTGATCATATGAAAAATATTTCACATTCAGCTTATCTGAATGCACACCAGTGTGGTTAATCTCATAAAACTGCCCAAGTTTGAAGTCACGGAGCTGACCTGTGAGGTTGAGCAAGCTGTTCTGAGGGACACAGGAGCACAGGGAGGCTTGGGGAGCCCAAGGCTTAGCCTTCTGTCCACCCGGGGTGGCAATTGTGCTTAATCCCGAGAACATGTACTGCAGTCCCAGGAATAGGACTGGAAGCTCCATGAGAACAAGGCCTTTGTCTCTCCTGTCCCCTACGGTAGCTCCAGCACCTGAGTGGTGTCTGGCATTGCAGTTGGTGAGTAGCAAATCCTTGTTCAACAATGGATCGGCCTTCGGCACCCGCTCCCTACAGTGATGGGGTGCAAGTGAGGACAGGCATACAGTGGACCCTTGTGTTACGACCAGCCTGACATATGAACCGGTTATGACTAGAATTTTAGTTTTAACTTATGATCAAATCTTGAGTTATGACCCGAATCCTGGCCACTTGTACTTCCAGATGATCTCAGATACAGATTTAACCCTTAAGGAGCTCTGGAAGGAACCTTACGACACCCTTCCCTGTATGGGGTTAGCTGAAAATTCCCGGGCCAGTGTCTCTCTAAGGACATTGAGATCCACAGGAGAGAGACTTTGAAGGCTGTAGAGGAGCCTGAGCCTTCAGTTGACAACTTGAGTTCCAACCAGCCCTCAGGAACGTACCGAGTTGATACGTTGAGGGTTCACTGTACTTCATAGACCATATGTGAAGCAGGACTGTCAAGTGTTCAAACTAGTCAGCCCAGCAGCTGTTCTAAAAGGGACTACACACAGCACTCTGGCTGAAGGGCATTGTGTTGGGAGCAGAATGTGAAGGGGAGGGACTATGAAGTTAAAATCTGAGTGTCACTTTGCCCCAAACTTCAGCGATGATATGTATACGCTCCAAAGTGGGCCCATCTTCTTCAGGCGTTTGGCACCTGTTGCAAGTGGAGCCCTGAATTAACATTCACTGCTGTGCCACTGTGAGCAACAGACACGGCGGCCCACTCTGCCTCCCTGAAGGGTGTGGAGGTTGTGTGGAACACCAGCTCTCTTTAATACTGTGTAGGGCCGCCGAAGGGGTACATCTGTGCATTAGCCAGACCTCAGGGAGATTTAATAAGAATCTAACAGTTAATATTAATGAGTATTTAAGAAAGAGAAATGTACTTTAATGCTTATTGTTCTTCCCTCGTTGGAGGGGGCGTGAGAAAAGAAGACCAGTAAGGGGATAATAACTCAAAAACTACTGCTTGCTTTCTGTGTGCTGGGAATTAACAGTTTACAACCCAGGAGGGGAAACAGGGCAACAAAGGACTCCTGAGCACATCTACCGCAGTGGTAGGTGTGGGAGGCAGGGGAAGGAGAGCTCACAGATCCCGGGAAGTGAGTAGTTGTAGACAAGACCATAGAGGATTCTGACCAGGGAGATGGGAAAGAGGTAGAGCAGGCAGGGGAAGATTTGAGAAAAGTGTGGGGACGTGAAAGCCGGAGGGATTCCAGTGATGAAGAATGAGATAGATGAACGTGGAGGAGGGGACAGTTGGGAGCTGAGGTCATCCCAAGGCAAGGTTGGTCAGACAAGGAAGAGAACCACAACCAAGCCTAACCAGTCAACCCATCAGCAGCGCAGTGGCTCTGGAGGGTTCTTGATCGATCATTCAGCAGTCTGAGGCCTGGCGACTCAGTGGCCGTGAAAGCAGGGTGGGGGGAGTGGAGGCAGCAAGCGCTGATGTAAGTGGAGGTAATGAGATAAGGAGGAATCAAGGGGCAAGCAGAGGTGGGCAGGCCTCTAGCAGGGGAGGGGAGTGGGACAGAGATTTTTCAGTTCTACACATTTTGCACATTTTGAATTTTGACCTTCTTGTGTATATTGTCTATTAGAATGAGAATTTGTAACGCTGGGACCCAAGGTCATCTCTGTTGTTGTTTGTGGGAAGTCCGGCCTCGAAGTGTTGAGAATGCTCAGGGTTCGCTCCCTCTCACCCACCATCCCCCACCCCAGCAGCATGTGATTGGGCTTCCACTGCCTAGGGAGCGTGGACATGTTAGCTGGGTCAGCTCTTAACCGGGCACCGGTGCCAGAATCAGGTGAGAGGGGAGCACGCGCGAGAAAGGAAGGGAACGCGTGGTTAGGAACAGTAGCGCTGGAGAAAGGGCCCTACCCACTGTCGTCTACATTCCTGCCACTTAGGCCCAGCCCGCGGCGGGGTGGCGCAGTTCTGCTAGGCCGCAGCCCCCAGTGCGGCCAACACCGCGGCTGCCACGGGTCTTCCTTGGATTCCAAGGAAGGCCCCATGGCCTCCAGGTGGGCCGGCCGCGCGCGCGCTGGCGCGGGATGCGAAGGCCGCCCTGCCTCCTACTGCAGTGGAGGCTGCGCCTTCTCCAGTCTTTCTAGCAGCTCTCAGCACAATCCCTTTATCCTGGACAGTGCAGCCCGGGAAACCGGGGAGCCCTGCTAGAGGGGCAAAAGCCCCGGAGCGGGTTGTTGGGGTCGTGCAGCCGACTCTCCCGGCCGCGCCTGGGTCCCGAGTGCGCGGGCCGTTCCGGCGTGGCCGCTCCAGGCGGGGCGCGCGCTCTGCGCCGCGGAGAGCGCGGGCGGATCCCGGGCCGAGGGTCCGCGCGCTGCTTCCGCCCAGTGGGTACGAATCCGAATCATCCTAAATGCATTTCCCCCTCCCTTATAGTCTGTTAAATTGACTAATAAACTCAACACAGCGTTCTCTGTGCGGCTTCAAAAAACTCGATAATTTCGTTAGAAAACGTTGAAATCCAACCCCAAAGTATTCAGCCCAAATGTTTGGTTAAAGTAACCCCGTGGGTTAATAAACTAAACAAAGGCAACCCATGCAAAACTGGAGCAATGAAAACCAGGCTAAATAAACGAAGGGAAGTTTATAAGAACCCTTTCGGAGAAAAAAAATAAAAAAGAGGGAGAAAGGCACCGGGCACGGAGGTTTAATGTGAAGCATGTGAGCGGGGCTCAGCTTACAGGTACGCGCGGGCCGGCGGCGAAGAGCGCAGTCGGGCGGCCTCGCCGATGCGGGTGGGTCTGCGCGCCCGCCGGGAAACCCTCCCCGGCGCGGGGCGCTGAGCGGGCTGGCGGCGCGGGCCAGGCTCCCTGCCCGGCGCTCCGCCTGCACCTCGCGCCCTGCAGCCGTGCGCCCCGGGACGGGTGGGGCCAGCCGTCCTGCGGCGGAGTCTTCCCTACCGGAGGGCAGTCCTCTCTCCCTTGCAGAGAGCCCCGACTCGGGGACACTGCGCGCCAAAACGGCAGAAACGGGGGTCCCGGCGCCCACAGAGCTCCCACTCCCGCCCTTCTCGCCCTCGGGCGCCCGCTGTGGTGACAAAGCCGAGGCCGCGCCCTTGACTCCCCAAGCAGCTCCGAAGAGGTGCAAGGCAGGCGGCCGGACAGAGTTTTCTGCAGCGGGCTTCCTTTGCCTCTGCAGTCCCCGGAGGCAGAAAGGAGAGAGATGTGGACAGGCTGGGTACCGAAATCAGGAGCAGTTGTTTTCCCGTTTTGGATTTGAGCGGTGAAAACCGCTCTTCTCGTCCCCACCCCCCGCAGATCCAGCCACGAAAAGAAAAAAGGGAGTCGAAAGAGCAGGTTTATTTTTCAGAGCACTCTCACTTCCCTCTCCCGGGCTCCCTCGCCCCCTGCCCCCTAGGATTGCTAGGAGGGGCGGCCCCAGCCGTCGGAGCCGGCGCTGGGCGCTCCGCTAGGAGATCAGAGGCTGCACAGGTTCGGAGTTAAATGAACCTCCAGGCCTCGGGACAATGGCGCGGACCTCACACGGGGGCACCTCGCCTTCCTCGGCCGCGCTCGCCCCCGCCGCTCCTTTATTCCACGTGGTGAATCCCGCTCCGACCGCCAGACCGAGGGGCCGCGGGGGACAGCGGGCGCGGGGAGGCGGTTTGAAAGGAGGTGTGGGTTTTAATTTTTAAAGCGCATAATTGGAGAAGGGTTATTTTTTTCCCTTCGTCCAGGGAGGGAAAAAAGAGGAAGACGAAGAAAAAAAAAATCAGGCGAAACACAACACATTTATCTATCAACCGCTAGACAAGACAAAGAGGTTTTAACAACAGTTTGAAAAGAGCGGCCTGTGAATGGTTACTATTCAATTTGTATTTTATTCCCCGCTGGTCATGGAATTGAGATCAGAAGAAAAAGTGAAAACACATGGCCGAGGTCAGGGGATCAGAGAACCACCACACACAGCAAAGGGAAGGGAAAGCAACGGGAACTCGTGTGAAGAAATGGATTATATAAACAGAGCTTACCATCGCCTGCGCCCCATTATCCTATAATTTACCCCGCATGGGAGCATAGAAATATATTAAACTAGTGATAGGTTTTACCATTTCTTTACAACCCAGCCTCGTGCCAATCAAGCCTACTATATACTTTGAGACATGTTTAGAATTCTTGAACTAATGTGTTTATTTTAAATATCACAGGGAAATTATTACATCACCAGAAAATAATGCCAGAGCGGGGGTCTGCCGCCCTTTTGAAGTCCTGCTGCAAAGAAACATGATTTTAATTACATAATCACTTTGAAACTATAATTATACAATAAACGATGAGGATTAAGCGGGAAGTATAGAGTACATTAAAAATTGCTTAGGTCTTGAGAAAACAAACTGAACATGCAGGGGAAAAGAAAAAGATGAAATGCTAGGTCTTGGGCGGGGGGGTTGATAAATCCTACCATTGGCTTCCTCTAGCTTGGGGCTCTCTGCTTGGGCCAAGGGGGGGCGTGCATGGCCTGAGTCGGGTAGCTGAGTTAAAAGCCGGTAAACCTGAGACAGAATCAAAGGGTTCTTCGGAAAGGGTGGCTCCACGTGCTTTTGCTAACCTTTCTACACAAAAACGAAGTTGCTTTGGCGTTTACGAATTGGGTTTATATCAGAAACTGTCGTTCATCAGGAATGCCACAGGGAGGCTGAGAGTCCACAGAGACTTGTTTGCCCTTCCCTTCCAGGGACAAAAGCATCCAACAGGAAGTCACAGCGGGTGACCACCTGCCAGTAACCAGTCTGTAAACAACCAACCTCTCTTCAGTGGCTCCGAAGGACTCTCAACAACCCAAGGCGAAAGCACTCTCTGCTTGCACCAGCTTCCCGGCCTCAGGCCCCTTTCCCCAAAGCTGCCTGACTCTTAGATTCGCCTCCGTTTGCATTTCCAGTGAGGCCAAGGCAGGCACAGGGCTTTTCCTTTAAAACACAGAAACTTGGCTGCAGCCAGGTAGCACCAATGTGTGTCTCTCTTCCTTCAGCTTCCAAGAGCCCCTAGAACTTCTACAGAACCAGGCACAGGAACCGGGCACGATGCAGGCCCTGTTTGCCTTCCGATCTTGCTTTTAGGCAATGCACTGGAGGCTTGGGATGAGGGTTCTAGGTTCTGATGTGCAGGCCAGAATGCTTTGAGAAGCGCCTTAGAATCCTGGAATGAACTCATTGAATAGCAATTGGTGGCCACCTTTGTTTACCTATTTTACCTGCTGGGCTTTTCAGGTCAGAGAGCAAAGCAGAGGGAGGGGCATGCGGTCCTTGATTCTGGCCTCATCTTTAAAAGGTGCATGTTTAGGAGGCTGCCTTTACTAGCATTTGATAACCTCAGATTGCCTCACTGCAGTGCCTCGGGTGCCTGTGGCTGGAAAGCGGGTGCCTGGCCCAGCCCAGTTATACACACGCAGTATTCTCTGCTACCTCACTAACTACAGGGGAGAGGGGTGCTTCAGCACAAGTGGGCACTCCAGCTTTGTGCTCAAGTGGAATTATGATTGAAGAAGCATTGATGTTTAAATTCACTTGCAATTGGAAAGATGTTTCTCCAGGAGCTCAGACTTTAGGTATGGGGAGAGACTTGGGCTCCATGGTGGTTCCTAAGTTTGCCTAGTGGGCCTGCAGCATGAGACCAAAGACCTTCAGCTCTGAACCCTTAAAGTGAAGACACATCAGCATCACTTTTGTCTGCAGCAGACCATCAACGACCAAGAAAAAGTGTAAGAGAAATAAAATAGTTCATCCAGAGAGTTCTACTGTGAAAGTGTTTACTTTTTGCTTTTCTAAGCCTGGGATATAATTTATTCACTGCCCCCTCGGAACAAAAGCGCTGCACTCGCCTTACAGTGTTGACCAGCTCCTTTCAAAACCCCTGAGGAAATTACAACTGAGCACCAATTCAGGGGCCGAGCCTGAAGTGCAACGTGCCACGGAGGTTCTTTCCCTGATGATCACTCAGAGGGCCAAGATTTAGAAGATGGGGTCAGGGATCAGACTCCTCAGGATCGTTGTAATACTAATAAGTGTTATTTACCACCTTATCCAATATAGTCCAATATATATCCAATACATGAACTCCTACAGGACTTCATTTGGTGCTGCAACAGTGCAGCAGGGTGAATACTGCAGTGTTTCATGAATAATATCAAATACTTATGGGGTTTATTATACACTCTAGCACTGTGATGTTTTGCATTCATTTCTTCCTCTTAACAGCCTAGTGTAGGTAATTTATCTTACTCTTATCCCAATTGTACAGATTAGCAAAGGGGGGCACAAAGAGATGATTACTTAATGTGCCCCCCTCACCTGACCAGAAATGGCCAGGATGGGTTGGAATCTAGACTTTGAGATCTTAGAAGTGCAGACTGGGAGAATTTGAGTCTTATAGGAGCTTCCAGCGACCCGCAGGGATCAGAACCCAAGTCGTGGTGAGTACAGGCTGTGGCACGTGGCTGTGGCCCACGGAGCCACCCCAAAAGCGCTGAGATCCAGAAGTTTTCCTTGAGGCGGAGAGCATGGGCCCAGCGCTTCGCCAAGGGCCAGGGTTGACAGTGGAAGAGCCCGGCGGGCCCTGGGCTGTTGTCTTCACCTTGTAGCCGCAGTGTCCTGGGCAGCAGTTGTTTTCACAGACTCGTTTTTGGGGGAAACAACCAGGAGAGGTTGTCTGCCCGACGTCCCCACGCGGCCCTTGGAGCGTGAGGAGGCGCGGGGGCTTGAGGGGTCGTCCCGCCTGCCAGAATGAGGGGCGAGGCTGGAGAGGCTGCGGGGATGGGCTCAGCCCGAACTTCCCTCCTCACCCGGCTGCGCTGTGCTCCCAGCAGGTCCCAGCTGGCTGCGCGCTCTCCAGGGACAGGCGCGCTTCTCGGGGAGGCACACCTAGCCCAGCGCCGGTGCTTTGTCTCGTTTCCTCCTGGTAGCTGGTAAGTGGCAGGGCAGAGGTGACCCATCCAAATTCGAAGGGACATTGTCCAGGTCGCGTAGGACAGTGCCCGGTATCTCTAGGGGAGTCACAGCGCCCCTTCCTCTCATCTCCTGGGAGGAAGGCACCGAGAGGGTAACCAGCCTGGAAGACACGGCCAGTGTGGACGCAGGTCTCCACCAGAATGTATGTGTGACTGTTACCCGCCACAAGGGCACCTTTCATTTCTCTGCAGACTTCTGAGTCCAGTGTTTCAGAAAAACCCAGGGTGGAAGCTCTAGGCAGAACTGAGGAAGAGTAGGGAGGGGACAGGAAGGTCCTTCCTGAAAATCCAAAGGCAGAAGGTCCCCTACAAAGCTTTAGGCTACAGTGGGGAGGGAGCTGTCTGGTTACCCCATTTCTAGAGAAACTAATTACCTGAGCGCTGACTCCTTGCCTGGTACTATGGTGAACCCTTTAGAGATATTTTTCCATCTTGCCTGCATATGGGGATTACTAAGGGGAATTTGAAAAATATGATGCCCGGAGTAATACAATCATAATTTTCAGGGACAAGACCAAGGCATCTTAAAAAAAAAAAAGAAAGTCTCTGAGATAATTCCAGTGTGTTGCCATGTTTGAAAGCCCTGCTGCAGGGCAGCTCTCTCAATCTGCACAGCTCCACCTGGCTAATGCCTATTTCCTAGGTAAGAAAGCTGGACCCAGGCCAGCCCAGAGACAAGCGCAAGTTCCTCTGGTGCCAGAGAGCAGGTGTTCAGACTCTAAGAGCTAAGTCCCTTCCAGCTCCTTCCCTGCCCCAAAAGTTTATCCTACTGGGGAGACACTCTGAGGTCATAGCAGGAAGAGATAGGAAGCCTACCAAGGTCCCAGCTTCAGGGCAGAGAACCGTCTCCACTCAGGGTCTTGAAAGGGAAAGGGGCAGTATGGGGAGAAAGGGAGAAGAAGAGCATCGGTGTCTTTGGGAAACGGAGGTCCACACGTGACCCTGCACTCCAGAGAATGCCCTGGCCTATTGTTTGAAAAGGTGACACATGGAGATTGAAGCCCAGTCACATAGGTGCATGTCATCCCTTAAAGAAAGCTAGAGGAGTGTCACAAAATGAGCACTGGATTAAGACTCAGGAAATAAAAAATCTGTGTAGCTAAGCCATCCCCTGGCAGTGTCACCTTGGACAGGTCGCTCCTTCTGTGCCTGCGCCTGTAAAACAGCAGTTGGATGGGATTGTCTCTAGGGTTGCTTCCTGCTCACACATGTTATGGTTATTTCAAACCATGATGTAAATAGATTCAATTCTGTATTCAAACTGGAAATACTGATGACAACATTTCAGCATCTTTAAGATCTCTCACTTGCTTTTCATGCTTCTCAGAAAGGAAATATTATTTCCCTTTTGGTAATGAAGGACACAGGCTCTGTGTTGATCTGACCCCCTGGTAGTTTCTAGTACTACTCTGGTAACCTGTCTACACGCAGCCCCTCTGTTCCTGTCTTGTAGGTCATTCTGCAGAGAGCCTTGGGGTATTTGGAGAAGGAAAGCACAATTGGCAGAATGTGGGAAACAGTTCGAGGCCCTCCATACACCCTAAAGCGGGTCTGGAGTTTAAGCAGAGTCACAGTGGGTCTGTGCTTGAGAAGGGGTGGAGGGATGGAGAATGAATCTTTTGAATTGGACTTTTTCTCATAGACTGTCTGATTCTTGGTCATGCATTCACTAGTCATGCTGTAAAGATCTTCAACAGGGTAGGCCAGAGTTGTTATTCATTATTCCAGAGGACAGTTGCTATGGCTTGGATCTAAAATGTCCCCCAGAGGTCATGTGCTGGGGCCTTGGTTACCAGCAGATGGGCTTTTGGAAAGTGATTGGATCATAAGGGCTCTAATTTCATCATCAGATTAACCCACTGATGGATTTACAATTTGATGGCAGTATTAGGAGGTAATGGAAATTTAGGAGGCAGGTACTAGCTGAGGGGAATGGGCCATAGGAACATGACCTTGGGGTCTACATTTTGTCTCTGGCCCCTCTCCTGTGCTGTCCTCTCCTTTCCTCTCCTTTCTGATCATGATCTCTTATCTCTTTCCTAGCAACCATGAGGTAATTAGCCTTCTTCTCCTATGAGTTCTCTGCCATAATGTTCAGCCTCACCTCACTGACCATGGACTGAAACCACTGAAATTGTAAGCCACAATAAATCTTTCCCCCCTAGTTTGTTATTCTCAGTTATTCTGTCATGGTGACTGAAAGCTGAGTAACACAAGGGGCCAGCATGGGCATGTAAAGATACCCTCATCCAAAGCCCTGCAGCTCTACATCTGTGTACCTTCTACCTCAGTGTCTTAATTTCTGACTATTCATTAGTTTAAAAAATATGCAGGCTCCTCTACTTATGATGGGCTTATGTCTTGATGAGCTCATCATAAATTGAAAACTTTGCAAGTCAAAAATACCAAATATACCTAACCTACTGACCATCTTAGCTTAGCAATACAGCAGTCTGTAGAGACTGGTTGTTTTCCTTTAAGACTGTGGGGCCAACTGGGATCTGTGGCCCCCCTTTCTTCAGAGAGTAGTGTACTATGTATTGCTACCCTAAGGAAGAGAACAAAATATAGTTGCCACTGATGCACAACACTTTCAAACTATTATAAAGTTGAGAAATCCTAAGCTGAGCCATGGTAAGGCAGGGTCTGTCTATAATCACGGCTGGGCCTACCCAGACAGATTAAACCAGTAGCTTAGGTAGTAATACCTGTACATGGATACTTTTAAAAAACAGCTATGATTCTAAAGTGTGGCTGGGTTGAGAGCAAGTGCTATAGGTGCTTGTAGAGATATCATGGAGAGGCCAGAGGGCCACTGACAAGTCTGCCTGGAGACCCAGATCTGAGGCTGAAGCCGTGGGGGTGCTGGTGACCCTACAGGGAAAGGCAGAAAGTCTGAGGTAGTTGAAGACAGAACCTCAGGGGACCCTGACACCAGGAAGGTAAGGAGAGATCGTGAAAGAGACTGAAGTGAAGGAACTTGAGATCCAAGAGAAAAGCCAGGAGGGATGGTAAGAGAGAAGAGAAGGAATGTCCTGCTGGCCAGAGGGGCCACTGCCATGCAGCTGATTTGAAGATGAAAACTGGAAAGTCTTTGCTGGACTTGGCTTCTGAGAAGTCTTGGGAGCCCTCAGCAAGAAGGAAGCAGTGGGGCCAGGGAGCCGCCCCATTGGGTGGCAGAGGTGGAGGGGAGCTGAGAGGGGTGCTGACATTCCTTTCAGCCAGACAGGAAGGCAGTTGTGACTGGGACACTTTTCCCTCCAGGCTGTGAGCACCTCCTCACCACTCACAGGAAACACAAGGAATCTGGCTGCTCCTTCATTTGATTTTATAAATTTGGAACACCTCATGAGTTTATGTGTTGTCCTTATGCAGGGACCATGTTACCCTTCTCAGTGTCATTCTAATTTTAGCATATTTGCTTCCAGAAGCATGCATTGGCTATCATTTTTAACACCTGGATGGAAATGAGGTTCTCTGCCATAGACCTGCAGACATATACCAGCATGCATGAGGTATACATACCACAGGGAAGCCAAGTCCAAACTCAGAACCAGAATGTGAAACCAATTTAAAACGTGCTCAATTATTCTCCAAATCAGTGTCAAAGCCGGGGCGAAATGGTCTACTGCAGCCAGGTGGCAAACTAAGCAAAACCAGCCGTGACTCCAGGCCACAAAAATCAGTACTGAGGCTGCCAAACCTTCGAGGCTGACTTTGTCGCCTAACAGGAAACCCATGGAGAAAAACAACCTATACTCCACCCCCGGGGATGGTTGACCACTATAAGGAAACTCAGAGAGCCTACAATGAGAGAAAACCCACAAAAACACCAAAAAAGAAACAGAAGAAGCCCTCTGTGAACATCCCATCCCTGTAAGTGCAACTGAAGGCCTGGACGCTCAGGAGACTTGGTGTCTCTCCTCCCTCTGCCAGCTTCCTGCAGGCCAGCTCCGCAGTGAGACAGGAGGAGGTGAGGGCCCGTCTCCACACTGTCACTTCCCCACTTCTCCACGGGGCTGCCTACTCCTCTTCACTCACAGTGACCCTGTCAAGAGCCACGTGCACCTGAGGGGCTGCTGGGTGGGACCCAGCAGGTTGCCAAGCTCAGCCCTTTGCCACAGAGCTGTGAGAAAGATCTGGAGCAAGTCCAGAGCTCTGTCTGTCTCCTGCTGGGCTGCCACTTGGCCTACAGGAGAAGACAAGGACAAAGTCTTGTAGCAGCCTCAACCTGGGGAAGGGATGAATGGAAGCAGACGGAAGGGGAGCTCACTGTTTTGACCTGGGGGCAGGTTAGGGTTATGGAGTCTTTAGAGCTGCTATGCTATGCCGTGTGTATGTTGTACTGTGTGTTTTTTTCTTTTAAAGTTGTTGCCGTTGTTTTTTTTTAAGGCAATGACAATTATGTCCAGTGGATCCCTGTTGCCAGGCCCCAAAATACCACCCTTCTATTTCTCTCTCTCTGCAGGCAGTGGCCTGCAATTTTCCTCTTGCCCTGCAGCCACCACCATGCAATTTGCACCTCACGAATGTCCTGGCTGAGTCTTAATGCTGTCTGGTCACTCCCCTCCCCTCCCTGAGAGCAGCAACCTGTTGTTGGTCCTGCCCAGCAGTTTGCTAGGTGGGTTTTTAGGATCTGCATCTGATTGGCCATTGGTGACCTGGAAGATCCTTCTCAGAAATTCAGCTTTGAAGAGACACATGGAGGGGTGGATGCTGGGTGGCGCAAAAGCACCATCTCGCAGCCTTCTCAAAATCCATGCTATGAATGGAGCTGAGGTGGTTTTGGAGTTGTTCTGAGTGGGCAAAAATATGACATTTTACTTGCAGTGGAGAGGAGGTCACTTGGCAGTGTTTTGTGATTGATGCTCTGGCTGTCCAATTTTCTGCTTGCTGAAGCGTTAAAGCGGCAATCCTAAAGTCACTATAAAGCCAGCCATCCGGCACAGAGCACTTAATTCCAACCCACAAATAAAAAGCTTTTATTAGACCTTTCCTTCTTA